TTTATTCCTTTTATATTTTGATTGAATATCGTGTGCATTTTTTCGCAACGTTAGAGGAACAGACATAAATAAAATAGATGGGCTCAAGTTAGCCTGACTAAAGGAATACCCAAAAGTAGCAATTGTAGTAAATAACCTCTTGAGCGGCTAGTATTTAATTGCCACCTCCCATATGATCTCAAAATCTACAACCTACTTGTCGCATTGAGATAAGTTCACATACGAGCAAATAAGAAAAGTATTTCGGATAAAACTCTACTCGTGTCTTTGTATATTTGATGTCCTCTGGAAAGTCAGTTATCTAGAAATGGAGTAAAATGTATTCAAATTGTGATTAAATTTAAATTACTTGCAAAATTTAACGATGACTACTACTGTACAATTTAACGATCTTATTTTCATTGAAGATATGAAGAACAAGATGTTGTGGCCTCTGGTATCGTCGCAGTCTCCTTTCGATTTGTATATGTGGGTCGACCTCGTTGTCGCAACTTGTATTGTTGTCAGGGCGACTTAGTAGAATGTACCTAGTCCTAAGTCCTCTGCCATAGTAGTTGTCATGATTCCCAGCATCAGAAAGTGGACTCAGTACATTCTAAAACGTTTAGTCGGTATCGTAGTCGGCATCATCAGTGAGTTTTGCCATTCGACGCACCAAGCTACGAACTCGTCAAAGAGAAAAGTGAAGTCAATCGCTCGACAAACGTTCTGCTGAAAACGGTTGCTCTATCACTCCTCTTTCTGTTCTGGCCTATCTATCTACTCTTGTCCCTCTTCATTTAAACTAAGATAATAAACTTGCCAAAGAATGCACCAAATACAGCCGGACAAAGAAGACAATTGTAAGTCAATCGTCCCATCTGAGTTTTTGAAACTGTTGTAAACGTTATGGTATCACTCCTAAATTATGTGACCATAAGAGACCCAACCACTCAGATAAGGTTAATGAGTATCTCCACCAGGCTTCTATTCAGAAGCAAATTGAGAACTTTGATACTGAACGGTATAAGATGTTAGAGTTTATAGATATTCAGTCAAAGCTCCGGCGTGATTAGGCCAGGATCATGTCTACGGAAATTTTCAAAAACTCCAGAACATGACCAACAGGAAATCACTTAGGATTTTTGACTTAATAACAAAATAGCATGATGATAAATTGCGTAAGTTAAGGGTTATAAGACGGCCTTAGTTAAAGCCAGTACGCCCAGCTGAAGTGGTTTCCGAGGTAATGACAATTCCTTATCAGCACGAGGATCGGAAGTAATTACTAGACTTATCATCAATTTCTCTTTATCCAGAAACAACCGCGTTCCTAGAAAAAGGATTGAATTTTTCAATTTACTATCACAGAGGCCTTCTAGCAGACATCCTGGTGGAGGTTATCAATATCACCGACAAGTTCATTGAGGAGACGAAACGGCAAATGGAGATGGAATTAATTCCAAATATCTGGACACATCTTGAGCCTACACAGGGGAACATATTTGCCAGGATACATAAAACCCTGGAAACGAATAAACAATTAGTCCTTCAGGCAGTCAAAGGAGGAGCTACAGTGATAATGGACAAAAAACAATATACTAAGAAGATTGAATATATTCTACGAGACAGGGCCACATATCGTATACTAAAAAAGGACCCAACTATGGAGAGCAATGCGATCTTACGTGACATGCTGAAAACCATGCAAAGGAACAGGGAAATGGACGCATGGACAAAAACTTCAATTATAAGAAAGGATGCACGACCACAAACAGCCTACGGATCACTGAAGATACATAAAGAAGGTGAGCCACTAAGGGTGATAGTCAACAACAAGTATGGAGCAACACACAAATTAGCAAAGTTTATATGTTTGAAACTCAAGAAACTAAATGAGAGGCTATCAAACACGGTGAAACAATTATATGAGTTTTCTTAAAAAATTATAAACATGTCACTAGAAGAAAAGGACTTATTGGTAAGTTTGGCTCTGCTGGAAATTCTTGACCGAAAAGAGGATATACTGGAATCACAACGGATCGGTAGGGAGTCGTTAACAAGACTAATCAACTTGACTTCCCATGAGATCAATGCTCTCACCACTTTTGGCAAACGTATGCATGAACAAAATAGAGGAGAGCTGCAAGATGGCACCGCTACAACCGGCATTGCCCATGCGGTACCTGGATGATTACTTCCCACTTTGGTCACATGGAAGAGAAAAACTGGAAGAATTTCTCAAGTTAGTAAACCAGATTAATGGAAAAATTCAATTCGCAATGGAAGTAGAGAAAGGTGAGCGGTTACCGTTCCTGGACGTTGAAGTGATCGGCTCTAATGGGAAGCTCAAACAGAAATTGTTCAGAAAGAAGTCCTATGCTGGGATAATACTCAATTTCCGGTCCCATCACAATTACAGGCTAAAAATTGGAATAATGAGGAGCAGGATCATCCGAAGCCTACGCCTAACGGATTTAGAATTCTGGGACGAGGAGCTCGGCAAATTGACGGGGATATTCCTCGGCAATGGCTACCCAATCGAAGTGATACAAAGAAACGTACGGGCCGTGAATAGTCGATGGCAGAACGGGAATATGAAAGAACAGTAAGGACGATGATATATTTACAAAAGTGGATATGCCTATCTTCCTAAAAAACTAACTTAAAAACTACGGCTATTATTGAGTAAATGGAATAATCAGGTAGCCATGAAAGGGAAATCAACACTTTTCACAAGTCTACCGATGCAACATGAAAGTGTAGATAAATTGGATTGTTCAGGAGTTTACTGTATATCATACACCGCCTGCGAACAGAAATATATTTGCGAAACAGAGAGAAAAATTATCACACGAATAAAGAAACATCAAAGACTCTGCAGGAAAATGGATACCGAAAGATCAGAACTAGTGGAACACATCGCACAGACTGGACACGAGATCAATTGGAAGGCAACCGAAGGAAGAGCTTCATACGGGGAGAATACAAGGTAGCGGAGGATTAGGGATGTCATTGACATCCTTGGGGAGAAAGATCTGATGAACAGGAGATTGGAGGAAGGTAGAGTTAGCGATAACTTTGC